TTCATGTAAATAACTCAGCAAAAGTGGTCCAGTATAATCCAAAAGCCTAGATGTGATGGAAAGATTAAGCTCCAGAGTGTCATTGAGGGTGAATAATGTTATTGCAGTCATTCTCAATATTTGTCCTTTCTGTAGCCCAAAGTGGGAAATGCTAAAATTTGATTGATCTTCCTATTCTTCTTTTGTCCTTAAATCTTATGCTTTAAATGAGGAAATTTTCATCAGAGGAAGCCCAAGACTCCCTCTGAATCACGCAGGGTGCAAGCAGAAGGGTGGAAGGCTTGCGTGTATGTTGAGCTAGACAGCTGGCACCTGACTTGTCAGGTCTCCTAAGTATGCTCGAAAGAAAGGAATTGGCACTAAGACCAGAAGCTCAGCTGTATCTCACTGTTTGCTGCAATGTGTACTAGAGCTGACTCTAGAAGCGTGTGGAAGGAGGGTCTTACTACTTTAAGTTGCATTTGAACTTCACATTGTTTTGCTTCCTCCTTTGACCCTGTATCACAGGGTTGCTGTTTGTAGTGGTTTCTCTTTTAATGTGTTTAGTGGGGTAATTTTAAGGATTAATCCGCAAGCCAGTGGTACTTTGAAATTGAGTAAATGCTAATAGAGGTGAGTCAATATTAATTGAAGTAAATGAATATTTATTATGTATTTCAAAAGCTTGGTTTCAAGCTCATAACATTCTGAGAAGAGATTTAGGACAAGGTTTCAGTAACTTCTGGTATATTAGAGTGCTGTAGTGGAGGAAGAGAATTGTGGAGCAAATTTCTAGTAGAATCTTGAAGAGGCCAACAGAGCCAGAGGTAGACACAGAAAAATAGTCTGTTCTAAGTTATGCTTATAACCAATCTTTTAGTTCTCCTCCAATATAATCTGTAAAATAGGGACCAGTTGTTCCTTCAAATCCTTTTTCATTGTGTGACTCTTCTGCCATTCCTCTGCTAAATGGTTGACAAGGACTACTGACAATACTACCCCTTCTGTAAGTAGCTTCAGCATAGATTTATAAAAACAAAAACAACACTCATATCCATAATCTGCATTATGTACGTTAAAATTAAAATGTACATTAAAATTCATGTGAATTTTGATGGCTAAATGCATTTGTGATTCCTTTAATTCCCACTACCTCATCCTTTTCAGCTCAAATATTCCTTTTTACTGCATATATATATATAGCACAACTTCTTGCAAATAAGTGCCAACTTTTTTTTTGATTGTGCATATGTTTTCTGTCTAGAAAAAGGCCACTAATGTACTGGGTGCTATCTAGTGGCCTGCAATACTGCTAAACAGAAATAATTAACCAGTGTCGTATGTTCGTTGTTGGTTGATACACATTTGAAGGTGTGTATGGGTTTTAAACAAGTTTGGAATACTTTTGGTTTTTTGGTACGTTACGTGTTGACTTGGAAGGATTTTTCTAATTGCATGTGTTTTAGCAGATGCATACATGATACAGACAACCAATTAACTGAAGTGAAAATGAATATATTGGTGAAAATCTGAAGGTTACCAAATTGCAGTTCTGTTAACTGCAGAGGAGGGACATGAAAGGCAGGGATTGTGGTGGGATGTTAAAACACAGCTACTGTTCCCTAGGAGCGATAAGAATTTGTTGAAAGGCTGTGGAAATGCAAAATCTCAGAACATCTCTTTAGCTGAGCTGCCTTTGTAGAAACTACTGTAGAGGATACTTTGGCAGGAGAGTTAAATGAGTTACAAATTCTGAGTTCTTCCGCAGGGTGTCATTTGTTAACAGAACCTCCTTAGTCAGGCATCATGAATGTTCAACTCATGCTATGCTACAGTCTCTACAAAGCAAATGTTTGTTCTGTTCAATTGTTCCCAACACAGTTTGAAATTTTTCTGGAAAAATTTGTTTAAACATTTTAGTGCTTCTTAGTGATTGCTTTCCATCTAGTTTGCACCTAGAGAGAGATTCTTATTAAAACAAGAATGGCTGTGACTCTACCAACAAAAAAGTGTGGCTGTTAGTTAACAATAAAGATATTTTGGGGTTTATCCTCAGAAAAAAAAAATCACAACAGACACTTAGGGTTCCACCAAGGAAACTCAACAGTACTGCAGGCGGGATAGGATTTAAAGTAAACCTCTACTATTACAGAAATAGGTCTGTTTGGTAGTTAAAAAAAATGGGTACCTAAAATGTTTTACTAGTCTACGATATATTTAGAAGATTATTCTGATAACACAATGTATATTTGTTGACTGAGGAATGTATCTTTTTTCATCCTTCAGAGATGCTTTTGCTTTTATCCATTCAGTCATACTTTATTACGTACCTCTGAGAACTGAAGCAAAAAATGTAGGTCATCTGAACCTTGTGGGAAATCTGCCTTGGGCATTGACAGCTATTCATGTCAGCATTCCCATACGCTCATTGGCTGATTACCACACTTCTGAAAATTGTAACATAAGTGAACCGGCATTTCTGAGGATATGTGTTTTACCTTTGTGCACTATGTTTAAATTTGTCAGGTGCTAGGGTGGTAATTTTTCTTTTAAACTTCTCGAATATTCAGCATTGATGTGGTTGTCTCATGTTCACAAGCATAACAAGGCATATCTGAGGCCCATAGTTTAAGACTGTGTAATACTGTAGGAGACAGGATTAAGTAAAATGAGAAATCTCCTTATTTGGATGGAGGTGTCGAGATGAAGAATCTTTTACTTATTTTTATTGATCTATTTTAAATGTTTTTGTTTTATGTATATACAATACACGGTTGCATTAATTACTTTTAACCTTCTGAGGAACTTTTGGAAGGAAACCTCCTACCCTTACAAATAATAATGCATTAGAGTGAGGAATTTATTCTGTGGAAATATATTGCAAATAAATGACCATTTAAATGTTTAATGTTTTTACATAAGTGCTTTTCCACAATTAGAAATTAGGAAAAATTGTTGAAACTATGAGAGTGGAAAAGTCCAGAATTCTCAGGCATTCTTGAGAGCCTGAGGAGTTGTAGGTCTTTCTTTTTCTTGCAAAAGATAACTGCAAATTAAAAATCTGAGTTTGGGGAAGGAGTTTAAAAAGGCAGTAGAATGTGAAGAGCAATATCTAACAGTACAAAAACAAAAAAAATGGAGATACTGATTTAGAAGGTTTTAAAGGAAGTTTGGGCAGAAAAGAAACCTTAAGTGTGTTACTGGTTTCCGTGCTAGTCAGGGTTGGCAAATATGGACAATGACAAAGCAAATGTAGCTGAACTGAAGAATTTATCTTTTTTATAGGAGCCCTAGCCCCAGGTGTAATTCTTTTTTGTTTCTTTGAGTAGAACGAATGTGAAAATTTCAGCAGTAAGGAATATCATGCATTGTAACTGTCATTGTTCTCAATTTTTCTATATCTTGGTTGTATGTCAAATAAAAAGAAAAGGCATCTGATCTGAAGGGAGGTGGGGGGTGGGGGCAGAATATGGTTATTATAACATTAAAGCAAAAATAGGCATAGTCCGAGAAGTCTTTGATAGTATTATCTTAGATCTATAAAACTGTGTGTATATATACACATTTTTATTTTGTCTTTATAATCATTTTCAGGAAGATGTTACAGATTCTGTTGTTAGTAGTTGATAGTTTTCTTTCTTTTTCTTAAGAAAGAAACAATGGAATGATATTGATTTTGAGGGAGCTTCAGCTAATACTGAATCTTCAGTTTATATATAACGCCTTTAGAAAACTGCTGGTCTGGATGGGTCTTTATGTTTAATTTTCTTTTTGATAGAGGTGTGTGAGAAACAGTGCAATAATTCTTTTGTCACTGCTACTTTCTCATCTCTTTCTAAAATTCAGTAAAGCAAGTATTTTAATTAGCGGAGGTCATAGCACTGCAGATTTTAGTGTTGTGTTTGGAAGAAAAGAATCTTTCTTTGGACAAAAACACCAAGACTAAAGACACTGGCACACCAAATCTGGCAATTTCCTTTCAAATAAAATGGAAGTGCAATTGATTCTACAAAATATGTGGGAAGATAGATTCTTAACTATCACAAACCATTTTCCCTTCCCCCAGATATTCTTCCTTTACCTATGTCTTTGCTTCAGCTGAGCTGACTCATTAACAACTTCACCTTCTGGAATTCTTATTGAATCTGAACAGTGTTGTTAAAGAAGAAACCCCTTTGCCTTATCAGGAATTTAATAATGAAAATTATATGGGTTTTGAAATAATTCTCACCTGTTGCTCATTTTGTTCTTGTGGAGTGGCAGGTTATTTTTAGGGGAGAGCTGGGAAGGAGGGTGGGGGAAGAACTGATGGAGCTTCAATTAGTACTCAAGAAGAAAACTAATCTTGGGACTTTCTAATGATTGGAATTAAGGTTCATTGTCTGCTATTGATGTTCTCCTTGAGTATCATGTAAAGCTGATTTAAATATTTGTATACTTTTTAAGCTTTGCATATTAGGAAATTAAAATAAAATGAAATACCTTGATACTTTGGCTAGATCACTTCAATCTACTGACCTTTAATGTATGCAGCTTATATTCCTTAAAATCTTTTAAAGTGTTTTTTTTAGTTTCATGCTGCTTTTTCCACACATGCTGATGTTTTGAATCATCTGATACCCTGATACCTGTGCAAGGTTCTTACTCCTTACTATGGGAAGTAAGCAGTTTCCACTGGAATGCCACTCAGCTCTATTAATTTATCATTGTCTTAGTGCCTCTTGAGAATCTTGTGTGGTCCAAGTCATCGGATCCTGAATAAAATATGATTTATATTTATATGCTATATTATCATAAGAACAAAACTTTCGTTTCTGTAAGCATAGGAAGAGAGTTGATGTGATTTTAGGTACGATTATGAGTACTGTGTAACTCTTCTAATGCTTACTAATTCTAGTACATTATGTAGTATAGTGCATACCAAATGCAAGTTCAATGTGCTTTAAAACTAGATGTTAATCCTGATCTTTGATCTTGCTCTGTGGTGTAGTCTAATTCTGTTCCTACTTGGTTTCTTTCAGGACATGAAAGACAAAGCCCACAATGGCAGAGATTTTTGTGAAAGATTTGGTTGAACACTTCATGACTCTTAAATGCTGAAAGCAGAAGGCCCTAGTTGGTGCAGCTCAATTTGGAGCAAAAAATTATTTTAAACTTCAAAAATAATTATGTCAAAGAAAGGTCGTGCCAAGGGAGATAAGCCTGACATGGATATTGAAGCTCTGCAAGCTGCTAATGAGGAGCTACGAACTAAACTAACCAACATTCAGATAGAATTTCAGCAAGAAAAAAGCAAGGTATGTATTTGCATTTTATTGATTATTCTTCTAAATAGTACTGATGTTATAAACAAGCAGAGATTGAATCTCAAGTTAATTCCCTACTAAAATATGCATTAAACTTATAAGAAATGTCTCAAGAATCACTCACTGATAAACTGAAATTTTTGTTAGGAAGGTGTGGCATGAAATATGAGAAGAACTGAGCTTTAAATTCCATTCTCTTGCCAACTATTTTAACACTGTACGAAAGTAAATAAATATTCCCAAAGACATTGTTGCTGATATTTGCTGTGATTTCAGTACTACTAGCACTAGCTTAGCTGGTCTTAGAGGAAATAAAGCAGTTCAGGATTTTATCTTAGCACTGAAAACTGTTTGTTAAAAGAAGTGTAGGCAGAGTGAACACAAGCATATTCCATGTTATGTACGTGTCTACAGAGATCATAACTTGCCTGGAAATAATGTGTGTAGGACTCCTAGTTTGATTTGCATGGGTTATGCGTCCTTAGCTGCTCTGATGTGTCTGTTTATTAATGAAATAAATCCATAAATATTTGTCTGGCTAGCATATATTCAACAGGCATTTGAGTAGTCAGGAGAACACATAGGAGAAAGTGTTCATTCATAAAGTACATAGCATCATAGAATTGTACAATTGTTTGTGTTGGAAGGGACCTTTGAGATCATTTAGTTCCAGTCCTCCCCACTATGGGCAGAGTTTTTGTTTAGTGATACTTTCTAAAAGTCTCAAGGACTGCGCAAGAACTTCTTTACAGTGAGGTGATGGAGCACTGGAACAGGCTGCCCAGGGAGGTGGTGGAGTCTCCTTCTCTGGAGATGTTCAAGACCTGCCTGGATGCCTACCTGTGCTACCTGGTGTAGGGAACCTGCTTTGGCAGGGGGTTGGACTCGATGATCTCTGGAGTTCCCTTCCAACCCCTACAATTCTGTGATTCTGTGACTTCTCTGAAGAAGAAATGTATACTGAAACCATGTTTACTTGATACAACGTGGCTTTGTTATGTACTTGTGTCATCACATTGGTGCCAAATTTGAAACATCTTTGCAATACATAGACAGTAGTAGTCTAGTATGTTCAAGTTTCTTAAACAGTCCTGTGTGATACTCAGCTTTGGATGGCATCTTCTTTCATATTTTATTTCATGTTATCATTTCATGACACAAAGAAACAAGCCTTTAAATAGAATCTTCGGAATTTATTCCTTCCAGAGGAAAAAATAAATAATAAAGCTCTAATTCTTGTTTGACTAACTGTAATAGGTTGATTACAGATCAGACATACTAAATTTGTTAGAAAAGGGAGATTTTTGAACACAGACTAAAGAAGAAGGATGATTTTCACACAACAGAAAACTGAAAATTTCTCCATCTTGGAGCAAGAAATGGATGAAGCATTTGCAAAACAATGTGTAATGGTGTTACCAATTAAAGCTGAAGGGTATTTGAATTCAGGTCTCTGTTCTTGTTGTATAAAGTCAAATGATCAATACTTAACAAATTATTAAGATGAGAGTATTTGGGTCATCTGCTAAACACTGTAAATAGCAAAGTTATTTGGAATAAATGTGGAAGAACTCAGAGTTCAGATAAGAGTGAAGTGTTAATGTGCTAGGCATGTTAATGTGACTTCTTGTCCAGTTAAAACAGCTACTAAGAAGGAGGGGAGGAGTGAGATATCAATATGAAGATATTAAACAATGATTATCCTAAGTTTGGAGTAATAAACAAGAAAGTATCACAATTAAATCTTCTAGATGCCATCACATTCTAAATGGCTGAAAGAAAATGCAGTGTGATCTATGGAATTCTATTCTGAATTGTAGTGGATTTTGTGCAATTAATGTGTCAGTCAAATTATACATCTACATTTTGTTCTGGAATAAAAGGACAGTTGCTGCAGCCTTCAGGAGTTTCTAGGGTATCTTGATATAAAACAAGGAACTATCCTCAGATGTGAGCAGAAACACATTTTCTGTGATGCTCTCACATAATCTTAAGAGTTTAAACTAAAAAATTATCAGAGTTGGAAATGCTGAAGGCAAGAAAGATTGCAGAAAATGTGCAAGATGGAATTTTTTACTTTTATTTTAATGAGTTATTTGTTGTTGGAGAAGAGTAAGCAGGAAGAGGATATTTATGAAGGTGCACAGAGAGTAGAGTGAATACAACAAGATTTTTTTGCTAGAGAAAAAGAGCAATGAGTAAGATCACATAAATAAAAGTAATAATCAGTAGAGGCAGGTGGGTGGGAAAAGTGGTAACAGTAGTGAGTGTATATTACATAAAATCAGTGCCTGACAAAGTGGAATTGCATCAGCTTGTGGCCTCTGCCACTTCTGTGCACTTAAAGGAGAAGGAGATTCAGAAAAATGATTGCCTGAAAGCAGAATCAAGTAAAAAAAGAGTTGGTTTCTTAGGTACCTGGAAGTGATAAGAGCTCTTTCTTTTACAAGGTGTGATACAATGATATAATCTGGAAAGAAGCCAGTAGAGTTACTAGGCTGTGGACTGATGTGACAAATTGTCACATCCAATAAAGAGATTAGATCAGACCTGTAGATTCTCCCAAGGACTTTAACTTAAATTTCTGAGCTCTACACTTGCAAATTCAATATTCTGCAGAAAAATTATCATGTCCTAAGAAGTACTAAGTTTTAACATACTTTCTTTTCTCCCTGAAATTGTTTAAATTTTACTTATGTGCCAAGTTCTTGCAATCCTATCAATTGTGACTTTATCCTGTGACGTACAAATCAATTCAAGCAGTATGAAGTTTCTGCATTGAGTATTATCATGTTCTCTTTATTCTGAAACTGGACTGTTTCTCAGCAATTTCTCTAAGTCTCTATGTCTCTAAGACAGATATGCAATGTCACTTCCAAGAAAGAATTTGGGATTGTTGAGAATGGAGAAGTCTTGGAGGCACTTTATCAAAATGCATAGATAGCTGATGGGGGGGAGGGGAAAGTACAGATGGAGCCAGGCAGTCTCAGTGATGCTCTGAAAGCCTGTATGAATTTTTTTTTGCTTGTTGGCTTCAGTTCTTGGTTATGCTTCAAACTGTGGACAGAACAGCTTTATGCATCTAAAAATAAGTACATTTTAACTGTGTTTGAATTCATTTCGAAACCGAGACAGTTAAGCGTATGGGAAAATACCATATTACTATTTTTGTTCCATCAGTTGCCAAAAGTGTAGAGATTAACATTTTGGGAGGGAGAGAGGGACAGAGTTTCTGGCTTTCAGGGAAGACAACTATAACAGAAGTAATTTGCTGTCTTCTCTGATAAGAAGCAGTAACAAGAATAGGCTTTTTAAAGACCTTGAAGATTAGGATGCATCTATTTTTCTGGGTTTGTAGAATGAAATGCATTTAAGATGAGATGCAGAATTCAGGGATTATAGAGTTGTTATTTGTGCTGTGATTGAAACTTTGTAAGTGAAATGACTGGATAATACGTGATGATATTCAGTTAGTCTGAAGGTTTTAAATGTGTTGTCATGGAGAGCAACAATGGATATAGATGTTGACATGCACTCAATGAAAAATGAAAACCATTATTCAAGCATGCAATTCTGTGCTCAAACTCCCACAGAATGTCAGAATCCTTTTCAAGTATATTAAAAGTTCTTTTAGGAAGTCACAATCAAATGTGTTATATTGAAAACTGCTTTTCATTCTCATACCTAATATTTGACATGACTGATTTTAAAATACTGTAGTTCTGGAGGAATATCAGCATTATTTGTATTTGTCATTGTACGATTTGTTTTCCTATGTAGTTTTTACTAGGTCTCATTTCATAGTTTCATCTCTATTTTCTTCATCAGTAGCAGATTCAAGCGAATTTGAGTGTTGGTAGGTTCACAAATTTACTCATCTGTGGTAGTAAATAGGTTGAACTTTTTCCTAGACTCTCTTATGGAATTGAGTGCAGTAATGTAACAGCGAAGATCCATGCTATCTGCTGTAGGCTTGGGTCTTCAAGTTATTTCACCAGATTAAATGCATGATGGGTATCTAAAGAAGATATTTTCCCGTAGCCAGAATTATCATTTGGGGGGAAATAATTCTTTTTTGAATAAACATATATATGATCTGGATTATCCTGGAATGGATAACAATACCTGTGTGATAACATCCTAGTCGAATAGTGCCTACAATTATAGTGCTGTCCCAGTCGGTGTTTAGTTTACACTGTAACTAGAACATGACTTCCATACTCTACCTATCCTGCTTTCACCTGTTTGTTTTTTTTTCTTTTGTTTTTGTTTGTTTTTAATTTTTTTTTTTTAAAGGGGTTTGCTGTCCTTTCTAATGGAAGACTTAAGGTGGAGTTCAGATTCTGGAAATCATGAAGTTAGTGCTAAGGGCTTGATATGTGATAGATTGGTCTCATTTTATGACCAGTTAAATTAGGTAGTAAAGTTGATTTCATTGGATGAGTTATAACTGAGGCTTTTGAGTTATGCTGTGTTTTCTCTAAAGCAAACACACAAGTGTACCTGTTTAGATCCAGCCTGATTACAATGAAGAAAATAGCAAAGTTTTCTGAACCTTTCCTGAACTAGTATTATAGCTTTAATTAAACTCTTTTGTTTTTTGACTGTAGAATCCAGAACTGTGGAAAAAGTAAACTGCATTAATTATGCCTTCTTAGTAAATTTTATTCTGAATATTAATAGAGATCCTCCCCTCCATACAGAACTAAAATCTGAGGCAGGCTGCATCTTTGCCTTAGTTTACCATAAATTAAGTACATTAATGCATTGTGTGACCACAGGTCCCATTAGTGCACTGCATAGGTGCAAGAAGTCTAGGAATGCTGTGGCAGGTAATAATATCCATCTGCTTCATGACCTGATTTTTACTGTGCAGCATTATGTGGATTATGTTTTTATTGCCGCTCAAGGTCAAAACACAAATCTTTGAAAAATTTCTTCTCTCTGGCTTTGTTTTAGAGTTGAAGATCTCGTGTAGAGCCTGTATTATGGCAGATGCAGTAATATGGATTGTAGGAAAGCGTTGCTGATATTAGTAGTGATTGGATACATTATACACTTTCTAGTAAACTACAATACAGAAGCAAGCTTCTCCTTTTTTTCCTCTCCCATCTATATATAGATATATATTATATATATATATCCCATCTATATTTTATATCCATCTATATATTATATATATATCTCCCATCTATATATAGACATATATTATTGTCTAATCTCACTTGGAAATTACCTTAGGTCAAACAGATTTGGATATGGATTTGGATTTGGATATAGGAATTTGGAACTCAAATCCCAAAGACAATATGTGTATATACAAGGTAAAGAGATGATTGACTGGGAATCCCGTCTGCAGTCTCTTAGCTACTGAAGGATGCTGTGGAATAAATTACCTGAGCCTATATGGAGATCTGACTCATTGAGCATCCTTGAAGTATGGTCCACTGAGTAGTAGAAAACTTTCTCATTCTGAACAGAAGCATTTTTCTCTGTCTGCTTCCCTTCTCATCAGCTTGTTGGCTGCAATGTGAGGGTTGTGGATGAGAGTAATCTGGGGGGTCTGGTGGAGAAAATTGCTAAAGAACTGGGTTGAATGCTGCTTGGTATTGTTTTACTTCCTAAAACTGTGAAAGTTTGTTGCCAGTAGCACCTCCGCAAAGAAGATTCCTCTACATACAGGTACAAACAGCCTTTTTCAAGCTCTAGTTCTCTCACTGTTTGAAGAGAAAATTTTGCGTTTATGGTTTTGCTTTTGAATATTCAGGATGACTTTTTAAGAAGGCTTATGAAAAAGCTCTCTTGACGACTTGTAAGGGTGTGATGGTGCTTGCTAATCAATTTTTTGCGTTGATGTTCCAGGTGGGTAAATTGAGAGAGAAAATCCAAGAGGTTAAGCAAGAAAGGGAGCAGGAACAGCACAAGCATACGGCCTACGTTTCTGAACTGAAAGCTAAGCTCCATGAGGAGAAAATGAAGGAGCTTCAGAGTGTCAGAGAGCTGCTGATCCGACAGCACGAGCAGGAAGTAGCGAGAATGGTGAAAATTAAAGACAGTGAAATTCAGCGTTTGCAGTCAACAGTGAATGTGCTGCGGGACGGGGCAGCCGACAAGGTGAAGACTGCGCTGCTGAGTGAGGCGAAGGAGGAGGCCCGCAAAGCGTTTGACAGCGAACGAATGAAGTTGCAACAGGAGATCTTGGAGCTAAAATCTGGTAAAAAGCAGCTTGAAGAAGCTTTGAACAACATCATGCAGGCGGATAAAATGAAGGCTGCTGACCTGCGCATGGCTTACCAATCCCACCAGGATGAGATTAATAGAATAAAGCGTGAATGTGAGAGGGATATCCGTAGGCTGGTAAGTTCATGAAATATACATCTGCTTATGGCAGCATTTAAGATATTGCTTTATCATTTAGAGCAATTCAGCACCAAAGGACATTTGTTTGGTACTTGATTCTTCTTATGTGTATTCAAGCTGGGAGGTGGTTGAGTCACCATCCCTGAATGTGTTTTAAAGAAGTTTGGATGTGATGCTCAGGGCCATGATTTATCTATGGGTTGTTAGAGTTGAGATAGAATGGTTAGGCTGTGGTTGGACTTGATCTTTAAGGTGTTTTCCAACCTAGAAATTCTATGATTCTAAGATCTGTTTGTTAATCTGGCTAATCAAGCAATTCAATAGTTATGCAAGTAGAATTTGATATTATAAGACCATATTTCTCATATAAAAAAAATTTACATTTCAAATGGAATAAAATTTCCGTTTTCTTAAGCAAAAATTATTTTATTATTTTGTGCTTATATGGATACGTTCTCTTATTTCTTCTGTTCCTTGGGAAGAAAGATGGTGAAGATAAGCTACAAACAAGTATTATATCTGTTTAACACTGATCCTTTTTTTTTTTTTTTTTTTTTTTTTTTGTCTGAGGAAATGAAAGCTTTTAATGCAGTTAATATTTTTTCTTTAAATAAACTGGATCTTGATAAGCTCTTGAGAGCATCATTTCCTTGATTAATTAATGACCACTGCAATGACTGAAAACGCGATACTAGTGTGACTGTTACTTGTTTTACATCTTATTTTATATCATAAATCTAGAATCAAACAACCATTATAAGCCAGGTAATTTTATGAAGTGTTAAAGAGGAGAGAAACTTATTGTCTTGTTGCTTGTGTTGTTCTAGAGACCAGCTGTTATTTAAATATACCCTTTTCAAAGATAAGAGTGAGAGAAAGCACATACTTATGCACCCTCAGTTCTTTCATCTTAAATTGCTCCAACAAATACACCTACAGTGAGTCTCACAGTGGTGTTGTACAGAACAGCTTAGCTCTTCTCTTTCAAGAGTTGAGCCTTTAAGTCTGCTGTGATATGATGGTGAAGGAGGGCACTCAAGTTTTGTCTGTCATCAAACAATCCTGTCGAATCATTCAAAATTATAATTGGGGCTTTACTGGGACTCTCGTTTCTTCCTCTGTTATTCAGTACAACTGCGTCTATAAAAGATAATTGTATTTTGTGTGTGCAGATAACTGCTGTTACCTGTTCACAGCTCTGGAAGAATTCTGCCGTAAGCTTCACGGGGTTTCACTTCAAGTGTTTGCATCCTTGTGCACCTTAAGGAGAAACAATGAGGAAAAACGTCAGAAAGTTGATGTTGCCATGTAATGGTTTGACTTCTTTCAAACTTACAAATTTCAATATTTCACTAAATTGAGAACAAAGTGCTCCTTCCAGGTATTCATAACAATTCATGTGGTTATTATTGTATGGGATACTACTTTAGCCTGTGGCAAGGTAAAAACCAAAAAAAAAAACAACAAAATAAAACATCTCAAATACTACAGGTGTTCTCGGGACCTACTGTCTTCCTCTGGGAGGCTAAGTGGGGTTATAGTCAGATCATCAGGATGTTTCTTTTTCTCTGCCCCATTGTTTTATTTAGTGCAAGGGATGCTTGCCTACAATTTCAAACCAAGTTTATCAGCTACAGATTTGGAGTACTTGATTGGCTTAGATCTTATCCTTGAAGAATTAAATGACAAGAATGTGTGAATATACAGATATAATTACACTGGATACAGAAGCAACCGTGCTTGCCTTGTACAAGTGTCAGTATTTTTAGAAATATGGTTAATCAGTTTTGAGGAATGTCCTCATACTTCTGAATTGAGCCATGAGAGCTACCCAACAGGCCTCAGTGCAAGCAAGATGCATAGGAAGATCCCAGTGCCAAACAAGGGAAAGGAAAATAGCTATTTGGCAAAGGAATCACTCTTTCTCTGTACAGCATGAAATTATATGTAAATATATCCCTGTTCTTGACTTCACATAGCAGTTATGTAATTTTTCATTAATTTATAGAATGCTTGTGGGCATAGATTTCTTGTTTTGCTGTAGCTTTAGTTTTTGTTTTCCTTCCCCAAAGAAAATACATTCTTGCTATGTATATGCAAGGGCACAATGTGCAGGCAGCTGAAAACTAGAAATTAAAAATAGCTAGTTGCAAACTGGAGATGCAGGTGAAACAGAAGATTTAAAGGGAAAGATACAACTTGAAGAAGATAAGAGTAATTATTATTTATTTTTTTTCATCCACTATTCCAAGCAGCTAAGCTGAAATAGTATTGTTCTATTTCTGGGTCAGATTATTTCAAAAAAAAGAATATGCACAGCCATAATTGCACTTCTTCATCCACTGAGCTTCAACATGAACTGCCTCAAAGCATGCCTTCAGTTGAGGGCTGCATAAATGCATGCACCTCAGTAATTCTCTACCAACAGACCAACGGACTCCTGTTTCAATAACATGTTTGTTAGCAGGGGTGTCTGGTTTCCCTCTAAAGTCTGGGCTGGTACAAGGTAAACTTGATGACATACCTGATTAATGCTGCGGTGAAGTTATGAATTTTTAGATGTTTATTAAATAAAAAGCAGAACTATAATAGCATTTAATGTTTTAATCAATCTAAAATTTAAAAACACACAAAATAACAGGATGTTTTTTGGTTTGGACCTCAATTAAACTTGTTATTTAGCTGGCTTAATTTGGTTTTAAAATCAAGTTTAATGTTAGTTTTCAGCAATAAATAGTTTGTATTCTTTGGCTTAAATCACATAGTATTTTCAAAAGGTTAAGTTTTGTCAATAGACCAGCTTTGTTCTGTTGCAAGTATATCTGTGAAATAGGGTGTGAGCAGTATATCCTTTTAGTTAGAGGCTTCATTCATTCCAAGATTATCTGGAGACTGTTTTTAAGAAATCTCTTACTTCACAAGGTGCATTTCTCTCCATACTTTTTTTTTTTTTCTCCAGAGATGCGAATGATTGACTCTTCACAGGGCATGCCTTGGAAAATAATACAAAATTATTTATCATATATTGATTTGACATCGCTTCATTGATATATCACATAAGAAGGAACTTAAATGTTTATTTTGTCTGACAATGTTAAAAATAATCAATGCAATATTTTGGAATAAACAGATGATATGCATCCTGTATTGTGTGATGTGGGGTTTTAGGTAAATATTATTTCCTCTACTGGCAGTATCCTTAACATCAAACCTTTTGCCCATTTTAAAATTCAATCTAGTTAAAAATTTTGCACTTATGATCTTCCTGAATATTCCTAAATATTCCTGGATTGAGATGAGTTGAATCACTTTATGTCACTTCAGTGTGAAATAGACTTAGGTTTCTTATCCAGAAAATCAATGTAGAAGATTCCGCTGATCTTATTAGGTGCATAATCAGATCTATGTTTGAGGATGCACAGCAGATTGAGTGAATTAGCTTTGCTTATTTCATTAATATTTGCAAATGACCCTTCAAAATTCTCTAGACAGTAATGTAATGTTACTACAGATTCACATTTGCAAGGAAAAAAATCCTTTTGCTGCTCATAGAATAAAAGTGCAAAGTTATTTTTAGGATTCTTTTTAAGAAGTTTGTGATCAGCCATGATTTATGTAGTTTTTTTTATGTGTCCAGGTCACATAAAAAGAAAAAATATATAGAAGTGAACCAGGCCTAAAATGGAGCCCTGTGGAACCCCATTACTTACTGGCTATGTGCCTGTGGTAAATCCAGTTACTGTAACTTTTTGAGCTTGATCTGTCAGCTAATTAATGCATGAATTCAAAGTTTCAATGTGGAGCCCTTCCCTCTGTTTAGAATTTCCCAAATATTTGTAATGCAGTACCTGAAAATTTGATTCAGCCTTCATGTATAGATCCTGCAATCTTTTCTTTGGCTAAACAAGTCCTGCTCCTTCACCCATTCCTTGAATGACACATAGTACCCCATAGTGGTCTTACTGGTCTTGCTTCAATTTATGGTAATTGTGCAAATTCATCCATGTCATATATTTTTTTTTGTTTCTAATAGAGTGGCCACTTTAGAACTTCTTTCACCTGGTGTGGTTTCACAAGTGCTTAACGAAGGGCTAGATCACTTCTCTCATCCTTCTTGCTGTAGTCCTCATTTGATCCAGTATCAAGTTAATTTGAGAGTTAAAATCTCTCACTACTGACCCACATCCAACTTGCCCTCCAGGACACCAAAGCTTTCTCTTATTTGCTTTTTTTTCTCTTTCTTTTTTCCATGCAGCACTGCCAACTGGAATTGGCTTCAATGCTTTTCTGCTGCAGAGCTTAAACCACCTGAAGGAGTTTGTATCTGTCTTAGGTCAATTTCCAAGGTTACTTTTGACCCATTTCTCCTACACACCAAAGTCCCTCTGAATGGCAGACATCTCCCCTAACACACCAAATGCCCCCTCCCCCCCCTTCCCCCCCCCATGTTTGATGTCATCCACAAACTTATGATTCAGTGTATTCCATTTCTTCATCTGGGTAGTAGATGAAGATGTTGCATGTGTTGTTCTCTTCAGCTTTCAAGGGGTAAATTTAGATGATCAAATAAAAATCTGCTTTCCAAGATTCAGCAATTCTTTCTAGTAAAACATGAAAAATAGCAGGAAGTTTAACAGTCTATCTAAAACCTAAGTTGAATTCCTTCATATGGCTGCAATTATTTCATAATAAAATTCAGTTTTTCTCACATTCTTGTGATGAATTTGCCATGAAAAGACAGTGGAATTTGTAGTGCAGGTGGTGCTAAGACTTTTCCTCTCAAAATTCTGGTAGTTGCTGTGTTCCATTGCTGAGACCTGAAAAGAAGGATGAGGCATGGTTTTATTAACTGCACTTGTGCAGCACAAATATGCATCAGTTTTGTTTCTACTTAAAATTTGAACACTGAATTTTCAAACTGTAAAGCTGAGTTTTGAATCTTCTTAGTGTTGTGTTTGAGTCTTCCAAGTGTGTGCAGTCAGGCTGGGCAGAGACTT